TATTACAGAGAGTACTGAAATGAGTCCAGAGAGTGTCTTCTGCTTGCACATCTGGCTATAGAGCAACTTGATATTCAGAGTCACAAATGAGGAGCAGGGCATCGCCGAAGAAGTTGTTCTTTTTGTCTGGGCAGGACCTCCAGCGCTCAGTCGGAGCAGGAGCAGCAGCTCCACACTGGCTTCTGGACATTCCAGAGGAGCTCACGGTTACTGGTGCAGGTGTGCTACAGAGCACAAAAATGCACGCAAATCCCTCATTCCGGTATGTAGGGGCTAGGAATTCCCTTTCTCTTAGGAGCACCCTCTGTGCCAGAATAAGCACCCTCTGTGCCAGTGTAATGGACAGGCATCCTACGCTGTTCAAGGATTCCTTTCCCCCAGGAGACAACTCAAGGGGAAGGCTTTCTGGATGTTTTGGATACAAAAATCTGCCTCAGTTGAATTCTGCAGGGTGAAATTTCAGCCAGAATACAAGCCTATGTTTGCGTTTGATAACCTTAATTTCATAAAAGAAGCTTCCTTATCCACTGATTGAAACGGAATGTCAAAAGTTATTCAGGGAAGCACATGAAGAGAGGTCAATTGTTTTTATTGTCATTAAAATTTGCTTCCTGACATCTCTTGAGCTGAGGACTCCCTCTAGAGAACGCAGGTTTTGAGGAGGATGTGATCCTGCATTTCAAGTACACCCCCATGCAAAGCTTCTCAGTAGGTGCAAAGTTGTATCTATAGTGCAATGCCCAGGACTTCCAGCTGAGCATCTTGGCTCTGAATTTTTAGGTGATTTGTATCATTTCTGACTAGTTTAGGAGGCATAGTGAGTTTAGCAGAGCTCTGATGCTGTAATGCTGTTGTTCAAAAGACAAAAGTTAAATTGAAGTACCTCAAAGATACTTTTGTTTCATGAACAAATATCACAACTGGAAAACAGTCTCTCTTTAATATATTATCTTTCTTTGTAGTGTTTTCTGTTGCTGTTTTGGCCAAATTTGTTCCGTTTCATTTTCCCTGCAGGTGATTTTTCTATTTAAAAAATTTCTGGAGGTTTATTTTATAAGTGGTAATGTCCTTTCTTCCCACTCACTGCAGAATTACTCACGGTTGCTTAGAGCTGAATTCGTGGGTAGGAGGGAGAGTTTCTTTTCTCAAACTCCAGAGCCGTTTTCCACCCTGGGCTTTGCTCTCTGCCGTCCCACTGACAACCCAGACTTGCCCAGAGCCTGGGGCAGCACAGGATTTGGCTCCCAGCACCTGCACGTGTCTGTCTGGGGCAAGTGTTACGCAGAGATGCCCAGCTACCACATTTCACAGCTAAGTACAGCATTTCAGCAACACAGAGATCCTCAGATCCCTTGTCCAATTGCTGTCTGTTATCACAGCTACTTCAAGCCTCTTGAGCTTCTGTATTAACTGTTGATGAAGTCCCTAATTTTCCTACTTACAAGTATATTCAAAGGGGCACCAGCTTCTAATAGGGCTTCTACATGAAGAAACCCAGAGACGGACAACTCGTTCAAAAAACTCAGCCTTAGGTCCTAACATGCTAGCTATGAGGGTTGAGGTTTGTGCCCCGTCTCTCTCCAAATTGTTCATTGCTCAGATTGTTTGGCTCAACTCACTCCCTCTGCGTGTGCAGGAGCCTGGGACACTAGCCCAGCTCAGCGTCAGTGCCGCTAATAGGCCTTAAAAGTAGGTCTAGCACTTGGCACACAACTGTCTGTTGGTCCATAAAAAGATCCTGAAGGCAAGTAATGAAAAAAATCTGCTACCGCAGCTCTCTACTTGAAAGAATATAAATCCTCATGTTTTGTGCTATCAATCAACTGTGACAGCCTGGAGTTAGGCAGAAAGTTCTCCTTGGCAGATTATTGCAAAGTTTCTATTTGGGGCGTTTTTACATCATCCCTGGGACATCTTGCTCTGGTCACTGTCAGAGATAGGTTACTGAAGCAAACTGGTCTTCTTTACTATAGCCGTCCCTTTGGGGATCATGAAATGTAGAAGCTGCTATGGAAACTGCTCTTCTTTTATTGACCTACAGGATAAAAAAAGTTGTTGTGTGAAATTAATGTGGAACTTGCCAGTGTATTTATTACCAGTTTTACTGAGAGGTGCTGAATGTGCAAGGAGTTTGTCCTAGCTCACACAGCTATAGTGGTAGAGTCAGGAAAAGAGTCCATGCACTTGCTCCAATCACTCCGAGCGCTTTCCCTTATTAGAACAACAGTGGTGTTTTAGGGTTTTTTTCACAAGAGGCACATCTTTCTCATTACTTCTATGTATAAAGTGGAGAGAAATAGCTCCACTAGTTATTTAAAGCACCCTGTTAGTTTGTATTAAGCGTACGTTGTCAACAGGCCTGTGGTTCTAACTTCCCTTCCCTAACCAGTTGTATCCTCTCAATTATCTACTGAATTGCAACTCTTGCGATGACTGCAAGCCTGTGCTGTTCTGTCTGAACCTCCTCTTGTTAAGTGTTATAAATTAGGAATAACTTGATTGCTCGCAGAAATGAGAGGCAAATCAGCTCTTTTGTTTTCTCAGAATAATCTAAAAGCACAGCTTATTTATATCACTCTTCCCAGTTTATTCTTTGAACGGAACTAATTGGGGAGAAAATGGAGGCGAATGGTTATCAGTAGTAGGTGGGCAGCTCTGCCTCTTCCTATGTGGTTGTTTCTACAACACAGCTTCTTATGCGTCAGAATAAGTAAATGGTTTGTCCTGCAGGAGGAGCTCTGTAAGCGTATTGCATTCTTGTGACAGGTGTAATTCCTACTTCTCTTCCTTTTGATTTGTGTAACATCAGACTGCCAGAGTGAGTATAGCCACAGTCTTTATACGGTCCCTTTCCAGAGACCAAATAGTAGGGTGAGGCAGCCAGGCTTTCAGGAATACAGACCTTCCTTAGAGCTGAGGAAAGGCTTTTGTGTCTGAAGGTTGGTCTCTCTTCTTAGGACTTAAAAAGGGCTTATGATCCCCCTAGATTGTCTGCTTTTTCCACCTATAGTAATCACTGTAACAGAAGGTATTACCTCTTACCTACAAATCTTGTATTAAATATTAATCATTTCTGGAGGCAGGGTTCCAGACCCGGTGTATCAATCTAGTCCTCAAAATTCATTTACTAAATTAATGAGCCTAGACAAGTATTCAGTGGCTTTAATGACATATGAACTAAGTTTTAGAAAGGCAGCCCAGGGTAGTCACAGCCAGCACTAACATAACTGAAATTCTTTGTGGCAGGCCTGCCCAATTAGACAAGCTGCACAGTGGTCAGCAGGAGAGCATGTCACACTCCAGCAGGCTTTGCTGCAGATTCGTAGAAAAACAGAATCGTGAGCAATAATGTGTTTTCATTTTCTGCCAAAGCGTTGACACCTTTCCTTATGAAGAAATAAGTTTCTGTTACGAGCCTTGTAGAGTTCTTGGTCTTCTCTTCCCCACTCCTCAGGAAGGGCCAAACTAATGCCTTTCATCACTGAACTTGCAGATTTTCTATTCGTTTTCAGTGGTTGGGAAGTTCAAATCTAGGAGGGGAAATGAAAGCAATTCCTCTTCCATGGGCTCTCTTTGCTTCGGCGTTGAGCCCTGGCCTTGGTGCTGCTGCTCTTCTCGGTTCAAGCGTACGTGATAGGAAACGTTTCTTTCTGATGCAAGCTCTGAGGCCTTTTTTGGAGCGGCTGCTAGTTCAAGCCGGGCAACTGAAATGGCCCAGAGAATCAGATGAAATCCTTATAAGCGCTAATGGTAAATGCTGAATGTCACTTGCAATATGACTTGAAAATAGTGAGGAGCAAAAATAAAGATCCTGCTTTGAAGCCTCTGGCACTTTCAATTGCCATGCTCCTCTTCAAAGTTCCCAGAAATGGCAGCACCTTCTTCTCTAACTGTAAGCCCAAGAATTTTGTAGTTTTGCAGACACTGAAGTGTTGATGCTTAATCTCTTGAATTCCTTGAAACTAATAGGAAATCCTTTGAGGAAACTTAATATAGGGAGAGATTAGGTATTCTGTCTTAAATAATGAACAGGATGAGTATTGAATGAGATGAAGACATTAATTTCTGTGCAGGAAGCTCTTAATAGAATTACTGAGTAAATTCCACATGGAATTTCCACAAGTCCCCTCACCTGTTTAAATCCATAAAGGCCAGGAAGGCCTTTGATATTAGAGGGAAGGAGGTGTATCCCACATAGCATTAAAGCTGTTGCTAAAAGGAGTATAAATAACATATTGCTTATATCAGCTAAATTGTTATATAGTTTAATGAGGAAGCAAAACCAAAGCATTATGATGTTAATCCCACATATCATTTTACTGACAGACTTTTCAATGCTAAACAGCATATTATGGAGTCAGAACTTGACAGGCTTAATTGTATACTTAAGAGTCAGTCTAACTCACAGCTTGTTCCTTCTGGGATGGTGGCAGTTTGGAATTAAAGATCTCAATGGTTTCACTGTAATGTTTCTTTATTCGCAATTATCTCAGCAATGTTTATGCAGGTAATTTCTAAAGCTTTCCAGTCAAATGGGAACCCTATTATTTAGGAAGAAAGTGGTCATCTTCACAAAGAATGTCACTGTATCTAGCGTCTTGTTCCAGCCACAATCCAGGATCTTTCAAACCAAATAATATTACCTAATGAAAACAAGCAAGACAGAGCCCTATGGCACCGAGTACCAAAACCAACAGCTGCCCAGTCTATTATTTTGTCACAGCTGCTGATGACAGCACTCAAGAGATCATTCTTCAGTTCCAAACAGGGAATTAGTCATTGGACAAAGCAGCCTTCAGCAGCTCAATATACCTTGCCAGAATGTTGTTTCTGAGCTGGGGTTGAAGTCATGATGTAGGAAGAAGAGATTCAGGGAGATTTGATTTAGTGTGATAGAAATGGTGGACATCCAGCTTGCTTTTAAGAGGCAGTTCTGAGGCAGTGTTTGTCATAAGGTATTTGAAAGTGCTGATTTTGATTTTAAAATCTCCTCTCCTCAGCTTGCATCTACTTCTCCTTTCAAATTCAACACAGCATGTTTGAAAATCCCGCCTGCCAGTTTCTGCCTGGTCAGATGTCAAAGACGCAAGACTCAAACTCCTGAAGATTTGACATAATATGTGCCCATTGATCAGGGATCAGAGACCACAGAGCGCAGGTAAGAAAAATGGTGAGTAAAACCAGAATGAAAAGTTCCAAAAGTGGCCCTTCAGAGCTGACTGTAGAACATCTTCCTCTTGAAATTCGGAGATTTCTATAACAGCTTTTAAAATTTTATTTCTTGTTGTTGCTTTCAGTTGCTATAGACAAAGCCATTAATGTGTATAGATTATTCAGTAAAGTGACCTCAAGTCTTGCTTTAAGGATACAGCGCAAATATGATTGACCTTCAAGTTGCCTGCACTGATCTGGTAAGAAAAGGAATTGAAGCCAGTGACAGGCCCACATGAGCAAGTCAGCTGCAAGGCTGTCTGCCTTTAAATACATAGCTCCCGGGAGCAGCTGTTCTTGAGGGAGGCGCAACCTGAAATCAGATGTGGAGGGGAGTTTTAAAGGGGGATCTGGTGCTACTAACAAAGTTAATTTCAGGCATCATCCCTGTCAGCTGAGCTGTCTGAACTGGATAGTGGTTAGTATAAGTACTGCCCCTCTCATCTCTATTGTTTCTGCGTGCTTGTGTGTATGTGTACATGTTATGTGTGTGCATGTTACTAATGAACTGTTCCTGACTTTTTTCAAGTAGCTGTATTGTTCTCAGTAGGTACTAAGTTGTCTGGTCTGCTCCTTTTCTGATGGCTTTGCTTTGCTCAGCATTTGTTACTCTTCCTGCAGTTAAGACTGTTCATTTTCTCTTTCAGATTACTGGCTGTTAATGGAATCCTGTAATGCAGCAACAGATCAGAATCCCGTTATGGTAATTACTATACAGAAGTAAAACTAAGATTGTCAATCCTAAGAGAGTTACAATGGTATGTTGTAGGTGTATGAAATGACTGAGCAAGTGGGAGGATGGTGTAATCAGGTCAGCTGAGTTGGTCGTAAGTATGATATTTCAAGAGTTTTGATAGCTGTAGGTCTTCATCAGCTAATCAATGCTAAGTATAGTTGGTTTGTAAGCTTTTCTAAAGTGTTTGAAAAGGATTTGGAAGAAGGAAGACAGTCATTTTATTGATCCTAGCAAAGATTTCTTCCCACTCGTAAGGACAGGCATACAGGAAAGTGGGTCACTTGGCATTGCCAGCAGGATGAAAACATCTGGATTTTTTCTGTGCTCTGATTGCAGCATGGAGCATTTGTGAGAGGTTCTTAGCAGATAGTGAGTGACACAGTTTCCAGTGTCTGTACCGTCTGTTGGCTCCACTGTGTCTGCAAAGCCTGTGAGCAAAAAGAATAGTTAGGGGCTTTTTTGTTCTATCAGTTGGACTCATGACTAATGGCACCAGTGAAGCTGGAAGATGTTATTTAAAATCCAAGCCTTTACCGTATGAAGGCTGTGAATTAGTGACCAGGAATCAGTTGGGAAAAGCTGCAGCTTTTACCTGGCCAACTGCAGAAGCCACCAGAGATCTAACACAGTGCTGAGATTTGCATGTTCCAAGTGTATATTTAAGGATTGTTCAGAGCACAATAGCACAATAGGAGTCCCTACTTCAGAGAGTTGAGTGAATTATCTGGTTAATGTGAGGGAAGTTCGTAGAGTACTTAAATTAGAACTGTTCCCCTGCCAGTCATTCCTAGTCGTTCAGATGAAGCTTGAAGCACATCAAAGAGAGTTGTGGACTTAAAAACAAACAAACAAACAAAACCCAACCAAACAAACAAAAAAACTTATAAACCAATTGTTCACGGAAAATTATTTTCATGTTATGCTACTAGTTATGTAACAACGAATACCTTTGTGCAATTTATATCTTCATAATAACTTTCCAAGTTGTTGTAATAAAGAATAGACTTCTCCACAGGTGCTGAATGGGCTTGTTTACAAGTAAACAGCATGAAGTGAGAAGCAGTGGGTGTTCAGCTGCCATTTTGTGACAGAGATTGTAATTAAAACCCTTCTACAGGCCAAATATTGGGAATCATGCTTTATGGGACAATAAAGTTGTGTATGTGACCAGTGAGATATGCTGTTGAGACCAGAAATAGTACTGGCTTTTAGAAATGACTCCTTTGATCCAATTGTTGCTTCCTTTCCACATCTGCCCAACTGGCATACTCTGTACATACAAAGGGAACATGAGTGAACCTATAGCTCTGGAATAAAAGTTCCTCGAGTCATTTGATTCTTACTTCTGCTGAGAAGTCTGTAAGACACAGTCTATCTCCTTCTCAGCCCTTCTGTCACCCCTGTCTCCCAGGCCTTTTGGGCTGAGCCCGGACATGGACAAAGATGCACTTAAAAGCAGTTGGAGAATAGCTTGCAGATGCAAACTACTGCAGCTGATGTAGTCTTATAAAGCACCAAGCTGGGAGGCTACGTGGTCATTTGGTTAGAATGACATTTGGGAATTGGGACAGATGTATTCTGTTCCGTCTCTCCCACTGAATTGCTCTGCGACTCTTAGTGATGCATGAGGGCAGAAATGCAATTGTGGTTAGAGTCAGTCTTTCCATTGATCTCAGCTGAAATATGGTTAGGCCCTTAAATCCCTGAGTTTTGTGCTCTCTGTCTGTAAACAAGGGATAGTGGTACTAGACAGTGACTCTTGATGCATGTGACAGGCTTTGAAACTCTCAGATGGTGACAAGACAAGTCAAAACCGTTAGCAACAGTTATTTTTTCGGAAGCAAGTAGAATTCACCAAGCCCAGTGAGCCTGGGATGCAAGTTTAATTCAAGAAAGTGGTAAAGAGAAAAGTTGTATTTGATTGCACTTCGAGGAAGCTTTGGTGTGACTGTTTCTGACACGAAGAAACAGTCACACCAACAGAACTAAGACTGGCCCAGAAACAATGATGTGAGATCCTATTAGATGAGCCGTTCCACAGGATTCTTTTCTACAGACCAATGATGACTTTCTCCTCTTTCAGACACTAGCACTCATTTCCACCTTGTCTTATCTATAGCTGCTATCAAATTTGAAACGTTCTATGTTGGCACCTGAAAGCTGGTATGATGGAACTCTAGAAACACACTCCTGCAATGGCCAGAAATGGTCTTTGTATCTTTCAATGCAGACAGATGGCTGAATTGTATTAGTGGTCTTGTGGTACCAGACCGCTCAGTGTTTGGAATAATTTCTGAGGGATCAGGAAAAAGGTCATTAATAAAAGCAATCTTTTTGTTAGTAGTTTTAAATTTGCTCTGTGATGATCTGTACCTCCACTAGAAAATGCTTACAGAAGTGCAACTAGAATATGCAACTATAGAAAGCAACTAGAAAAAGTGAAAACATTTATTTGAGATTCTTTTTAGATCTATATTTCAATGACTGCTTGATTCAGAGGCCATCAGGGAAGACACAGAGTTAAAACTTTCATAGTTTTACATTTTTGTAGCTATTATTGAAAAATGTGACCCAGCATTTCTGCATGCTGAGAGAAAATGCTTCATCAGGAACAGCAAGCTGATGAACTGTTTCTAAAATACCTTTTGGAAGATCTCAGCAATAATCTATGATTATTTCTGAGCCTCTCCTGCTCATATTGAGTAAGCAGAGCTCAAATCTTATTGTGTGGAGAAATTATGGAAATACCAAGGATTACCTGATAAACAGGTGGTGCCACTGATCATTAACTCCACTTTATAGCCATAGTATCTTTTTGTCATTTGAATAAGAAATGATCTCTGAGCCAATACCAGAGTAAATCTTATTGACCTTTTACGACTGCTTGTGCTTTTATGAAAAAATGGTAACTTCATCTTCATTAAAATCACTTTCAGTTCTGTATGGGGCCAGATACTGAGCACCATAATTCTATATGCATGTATATGCACAGGAAGAAAGAAGGCATTTAGCAGTTCTCTTTACTTGAAGGTACATACCCTGGTCAATACGGTCTGTAATGGTGAACTGAGAAACACTGCTACACTGATATTAAGCTCATGCTGCCCACTCTGTGAGTGTGTCACACAGATCAGCTGAAACTGGGTTAAATTAAGTAGTTCATGTCTCCAGCTGAAGTTTGCTTCTATCAGTGATGGTTCAACTGCTCTTTAACGTGGTTCTTTGACAAGAAGCTGGAGACTTCAGCCCATCCTACTTTCCTGGGTTCAATTATGTAAACCTTTGTCACCTCTCGGTTGGACAGGAGTAACTCTGGTGTAGCTAAGCATGAGATGTTTACAGAATTCCGCAGGATAAAGAGTTGTGTACATCCTTCATCACTTCTGTCTACAAGCCTGTCACCACAGGTTCAGGGTGCACCAGGTCTTCCAAATAGTGAAAAGATTGTCTAAGACTCCTAGGTAAAGACCAATATAAGACCCTGTGTAGACTAAAGTACAGAGGAGATCTTACAGGGAGCTGCTTAAAGACATCTAGATTTTGCCTTTCAGAAACAAAGCTTACCATCCATCTTTTTGGGGGCTAGAGCCACTTAATACTATCAACTGCTGTTACCCTGGGGAGAAGATCTTAACTTGATCTTGCGCAGGGAGTTCCGTACATCATAGATCTGTACATCAAACTTCTTCAAACCAAGGGAGAAGAAGAATCTTGCATTTGGCACTTTTTGAGCACTTGGACATGGCAAACTGCTTGGTATTTGCACAGTAGATGCAGAGTAGCTCCGAAATATTGGTAAAGCTGGCTCTGAGTTAGCAGTCCTTTTTCCTGTATAGAGAGGCCAGTTTCAGCAGTCAGGCCAGGCATAATGTGCTCGTTCTGTAGCCGATTTAAGTTGAAAGGTTATTAAATCCTTTTCCCCTCTGGTAACTGCAGACCATTTAATTACAAGGTCAGTGACATGTAACGGTATAGAGCTTAGGGATCTCATAAACAATGTTTGATTACACAACAAATCATGACTTATTTTGACTTTTGCCTCAGAATACTGGTTACACAGTGTTTATTGTCTGGACCTTCCTAGTGTAATAATTTAGCTGTCTGCAGGACTACATCAGTTCCTGTACCACTGCCTTCTGGTGTTCAGAGTTCTCAAGTGCTTTACAGATTGACAACATAAGAAATAAAAGATACGAATGACTATGAATTAGCAGTTACAGGATGGAACTTTAAAAGGTTCATCTTTCCCATTTAGACAAAAACGAAGTAGCCAAGTTTAATGAAGTACTCATCACTTTTGTCTTTTGAAGGTCTTTTTGTCTGAAGATCTGTGTAGCAGTGGCAGCTTGTAGATGCCAAGTCTGTCTGAACTGTCACCTCCCTTTGGGTGTGAGAGAGAAAGCAGAGTTCTCTTACAACACACGAATCACGTTCAGTCCTTGAAGCAGCGTGGGTCTAGCAGCGTTTGTGATTTCGGCAGAACTTAGCTGCTATCTGGAAACCCAAGTGAAAAAGATGAGCCTTTATAAGACCAAATCACAATATCCTACTACTACAGAAGTGCTCCTAACTGAGTACTTGTAAATTGACTGAAATGAGCAATATTATATCGTCTTGCTTGACATCCCTAGAGGTTGCTAAAGGTCTTTGGTTATTTAATGTTTTTCTGCTTTGAAAAACATGTTAATTTCCTTGATCGTGTCCATGCTTCACAGATACTGTTATAAACCAATGATTCATGAAGTGACTGCCTACCTAATTTTAAACCGTATTTTTGCTGCAATATGGGGGAAAAATCAAATGAAGTTGATGTCTAGTGTCAAAAGAAAGTTTCTATATAATGTTGCTAAAAGAAATGACGTGCTTTTGTGAAGCTTAGAAGATTCTGGAGTAAGTTTGCTCACAAAGAAATCTCACTTAGGCAAGTTCAATGGAGCCCATAGCAGCTTTTAGCTGCTTTAGGATTT